CCATTTAAATATTTTATCCTACCGACATGGATACAAATTAGATTCGCACGATCTAGTTAATGCCATGCAAGCCACAAAAACGATAACATATGTTGTTGTTTTAAATAAATTTATTTAAAAAATCATTGGTCTAATGCTTGAAAATTATGTAAAGTACACTTGCCGACTTAGGTTATCAAGAATCTATTTATCCTGTCCCCTATATGATTTTGATTGGGAATTTCGAATTTGTCCCTTTCAATAAGACAAATGTTTTTAAGTAGGTCATAAAGTCTCCTCACCGTTCATTTTGTAGCTTTTAAATTCCTAATAATAAATGAAGAAAATGAAAATTGGCCGTTAGTTCAGAGAAGAGTATTAATCAAGCATCTATGCCTGTATATTATTATTATTATTATTATTATTATTATTGTTCTTATTATTGTTGTTGTTGTTTAGGTGATTCATACGGCAAATAATTAATGTAATATGGGAGAAAATAAAAAAGTAACATATCAATGCATTTATTTATAGGATAAATATATATGTATTGAGCGGGTTACCGAATGGCGTCCCCCCTCTCACAATGTATGTTGGGTTCCGTGTGAATTTAAAAATGATGGCTCGTGATCCTCACCTCTGTTGTGAAAGTAAGTAAAAAATTCGGTAAAAAAATTCGGTGCATGTAACATTGTCTTTATTTATATAGATCTTTGACATATTTAATTAATTCATTTAGAATTTTTAAATAGTTATATAAAAGAAAATTATATATATGAGCGGGAGCATGACTTGGAATTTGTTTAAAGAATAATGATATTCATGGTGAGGAATAACGATAGTCATTCTACATGACATACATGTAGATTTTTGTTATTTGATGCATTAATTAATTGTTTTTTATTGTTTCATATATTAAATAATAAGATGTCACATGCATGTAAAACGACTATGAGTAATCTTCATTATAAATAGCATTACTCTTATTTAAATGGTCCATGATCATTAGTTATCATGACTTTTTTGTAAAAGTTGATGTAGCACCATATATTTTAATTTTGATAATGATCTATCTTGAATTCTCATTTTAGAATTCTATTTTTGTGATGGTCTGAAGATTTATAGCATTTTCAAATGATCACTAATTTTATACCTATATAATTGAGAGAAATGAATTTAGGGTTTGTTTGACAGGACTTTTAAAAGGTCAAAATTGTTATTAAAAAAAGTTGCTTTTGAACCTATTTGAATAAATTTTCTGGGAGTTCTTTATCTAATTAGAATAGCTTTTAGAAGAAGCATACCAAATGAGCCCCTAATTTTCTATGTACTAAAAGCCTGTTTGGGGGTGATTTTTTGATCGTTATTTCACTATTACAGCCATCATATTTGACTTTTTTTCTCATAGGTGGAGCCTACTTTTCTCCTAACGGTCAAAAAATCAATTTTCAAAATCACTCTCAAATAGGCTCTAAATAATGAAAATTATATCTTCATTCTGCTAGAACTTTGTGAGAAGTGATCGTAATATAGTTATATCGAGTTTATAACTTTGATAAGTTGTGATCCATATTTCAAATGAATTGAACACATTTGGCCGACAACTCGATTGTCCACTATAGTTGCTGCTTATTGAATCACATATAGTTCAAACCAACACTCTTTCTGTACATGTATCTACATTTATTTTTTCTCTTGGAATAACATTAGAAGGTTTCAATGTTTCATGGAGCACCTCATCGCCATAAATCTTGATATTTCCCTATTATATAGGATTAGCTAACTTTAAATTGAGGAACTGAACAAGACTATAGATATTGTTTTTTTGCCCATGTCTAGGGGTGGCAAAAGAGCCGAGTAGTTCAATAGCTCGGCTAGTCAAAACTTAACCTATGGATGGCTTGGGCACGTTTCGAGATGAGATCGAGCCCGAGTTGAGCGGGGATTCTTTCAACGAGCTGAGCCTGGTTGTGCCCATTAGCCGAGCAAGACTCGGCTAGTAAAAAAATTGAACAAAAAAATAAAAAAAATAATTGAAAAATTAAATAAAAATAAAATCTTGAGCTCATGGGCTCGGCTCGTGAGCTTAGGAGCTCATGGGCCGAGCTGAGCTTGTGCTTGAAAGAGCTCGAGCTCGGCTCAGCTAGTCACTTTGATGAGCTGAGCTTGTAGGTAGATGGGCCGAGCCGGCCATTGCCACTACTACCCATGTCAACATCGCTGGTTGATATTCTCGAAGTAAGATTCAAATGAATGGTGCTTGGCTTGAATTCTTAGGCCTATTCCTAAGTTATGTTTCAAAAAAATACATTTCCAATACTAACTAATGAAAGGCCTAGAGCTGGAAGTGATCTTAGAAACCATTCCAATTATGTTCCAGGAAAAAATCACAATAAAGTGCTTAAATATACCTTCCCTACTAATTATAACTACGGACGTTGAGAGAATTGGTGTCACTATGCAATATGCATCATAAGTGCCTTTCAATCAGATTGCAATGCTCTGGAAATTTTCTAATGTTTTATTCTTCTGTGAAATTCAAGAAATCAATCAAAAATCATAAGCAAACAAAAACAAAATATTAGGCATGATTCCAGGATTTGTTGACCCAACAACAACCATAATATTTCACATAATCCCAGAATGTTTTCAATCAGCGCCAACAGGGAACAACCATAATATTTTACAAAATTCCAAGATTTTCTGCACTCCATTTACTGGATCACCTCTCTCTGATGATTTTCGTGCACATTATCTGATTCAGGGAGCTGTCGTTTTCACCACTTCTGGTTCTATGCCACAACAGTGATTGTTGAGTCATAAACCCTGGCAGATGCCTTACTTGCCTGTAATACAAAAACTCGGAAATTTACTACTGCCATCTTTTGAACCATCTCATTTAAACTCTCAAATTATTAGACTTATAATTTTGGTACAAGCAAATAGTAAGAAAATTTTACCTCTGTCTCCCAATTAGTCCGGATGGTTATGATCGACAGGAATAATGTCTGCGCGAAAACAGCCGCTATGATTCCTGTCCAGAGACCCTGTGCACCATATGTAGGAAACAAGATTCATGGTACGGTTACACTTATAGATTTTGGATGCATGTACCTCTTTATTCAAAGACCGTTCTTTGATTGTCACTTAAAAGTTCAGCATGTATGTTCTTTTACGTAAACTATGACTGAAAGAAAATGGTACCATGACTCCTAAATTGAAATTACCTTCCCTCCAAGATGTAAGGTAAATGCCAACAATATGCCTAAAGGGATTCCAATAATATAAAAGGATCCCAAATTTACAATTGCACCAATTTTTTGCCATCCACATCCTCTAGCAATGCCTGCAGTTTTAATTAATCAAGATTCTTATTAGATATATTTATTTATTTATTTTTACTTTAATCAAATAATAAAAATACTTTTGACTAGGGCTGGGCAAATCTCCCGAACCGAACCCGAACCGAATTGAACCGAGCCCGACGGTTCTTGTCAAATTAAATATTCGAACGGGTATCTGAATTGAGAACCGATCGATACGGTTCTGTTCTCAATTCTAGACCAAGAACCGAATCTTTTAAATTTTTTTTTATATTGAGTAAATCAAATTATTTTAATTTTAATTTTTTCTAAACAAATTAACAATTTCTAAATCCAAATTTTTGGCCCAATAATTTATTTCATTTCTATTTTTTTTAATTTTTGGCTCAATTACCCATTTTATTGTTTCATTTCTCAGCCCAACAAGATCGAATCCACTAAATAACCTTAAGCACCTACACTAAAGTGCATAACGTTATCTCGACTCTCGCACTCACTCTCACAGCCTCTTTAACATTCCAAAACCTATACAATCGTCGGCCAACGCTGTGACCTCCGATCGAAACTGCGACCTTCGCCGACCGAAACTTTGACCGTAGCAATCATTTGAACAAGGTAGTCTACTAATATCTGACATTCCAAAACCATTGAATGTATCATTAGTTGTATTTATATAATATTGTTATAAATGTTAAAAAAATTTAATTATAGTACAGAACGGAACCGAACCGAACGAAACCGAACCCGAATGGTTCCATAATTATATTTGGACCCGACGGTTCCACTTACTAGATACCCGAAATTTTTGGTTCGATTCAATTCTCTTCTAAACCGAACCGAACCAACCCGCGCTCACCCCTACTTTTGACCTACCGTTTAGGACAGAGAGAACTCCATCTGCTAAATTGGTGACAGCAATTAGAATCATCATATCAGAAACATAGCCGACCATCCGTGCTTCACTACTAAAACAGTATCCCCAAATCTTGCGTCCCAGAATGATTACTGCCACCGCCACGATGCTTTCAGCCGCCACCATGAATACGGCCATAAACACTGCTAGTCGAGCTGCTCTAGGCCGTCCAGCACCCAGTTCGTTTGAAATCCGTACACTGTGGAACAAAGAATTTTATATGATAAATAAAAAGAGAAGAATGACTCTTATAAATTATGAGTACTTCGTTATTGTAGGTCACCTTATTGCACTTCCTAGTCCGAGGGGTATCATGTAAATCATGCTATTCGTGTTAAGGCTGCAATAAGATGTAACAAGTTAGTAACATGTACTGGGAACTATATGAATATAATAATAATTGAAAATGCTAACCTAATTGAGAGAACTGAGGTCTCGAGTGTTGGATTTGGGAGAAGACCAGCTAAAAGCACCATCATCTCATATGACCAAATTTCCAAGCTGTTGCAAATAGAAATCTTGTTCAAATGAATGCTTCAAAGTAGATATTAGTAATGAAATCGAAGAAATATTAGACTCTGGATCACGATATTACCAGACCATAATGGCCGAAGGAACCGCAAGCCAGAGAAACTTCAAGACATCTCGTGTTGCTTCTTTTGAGAAACCAGTCCAAGTGTTTTTGCACGAAGGCGACAATGTGATATAGAGAGCCAAGAAAATGTCATTAGTCCAATAAGCAATACCGTTTGCCAGGGCAGCGCCTATGCTTCCAAGGCCTAATTTGGAGATCAAAAGCCAGCAAATAGGTATGTGACACAACGTTGTTATCCCCGAAGTTAGCATCATTGGTACAACGTTGTTTTGAGTCTGTAGGAATCTAAATTGGCACTCGAGAAGCGCAAAGGGAAAAATGGTGGGGATCATGTAACGCGCGTAAGTTCCAGCTTCTGCTGCTATTTGTGGATCTTGTCCAAGTAATTCAAGAATGTGCCCTGCAGTGGCCCAAATACAAGCTAGGGGAATGCATACAAGAAGCAAAACAAGCATGGCTCTCTGCATGTGTATCCCAAGCATATGGTACTGTTTTGCGCCGTATGATTGTCCACAGAAAGTGTCCAATGCACACGCCATCCCGACCTAGAAATTGATGGAAAACCTAGTTTTAATGTTTATGTGATATCGAGTGCAAGTTTGATATACAGTTCTGAAATGTTATAATGAAAAACCTTAAATACTACGAAATATGGCGTGTGGAGAATGTAATTGTGACTCACCAGCAAACTGAAGCCTGTAACCGAAGCGAAGGAGGTGGCCATTGATGCTCCAGAAAGAGCTAATTCTCCAACATGACCAACAAACATAACTGAAATTGTCTGTATAAGTGACAACAAAAGATTCACAAACATCATTGGTCCTGCTAAGAATATCTGTTTCTTTGCTTCTGCAAAAATCTCATCTTTATTGAATTTTCTTTTGGAATCAAGATTATATTCCTTAGAGATTGAAATTAAGGGTTTTTCAAGATCAATCTTTTGACTATTAGTGGCCATTTTCTATATCTATCTATCTCCTTCTCACAGGCTCACTCTCTCTATGCACCAAAAAAGCTGAGACTATAGTGCAGTGAGCAATGCTTACAATTAATATCTTGCTATTTATACAAAAGTTGACCACTAAACGCCAATTGGACTTAAATAATTGAAGGAAATAAATGTTGATTATTTTATTATGAATGATTAATGATCTGTCTTCGTTAATATCTCAAGATCCAACTACATGCTAGCAGCTTGTTTAAATCTACAGGCCTAGCCATCACTTCCGGGAAAATTAAATTGACCTTTCCTGAAAGTATCTTAATTATGAAACATGCATGATTAAAGTTCTTAATGATTGATGACACAATACTTTACTTTTATAGTTCTATGCTAATTGGCATGACTTCTCTAATTACATAAAATAACTTGTATCACAGATACTTGGCAATTAGGAAAGTAGGACAGAAAATAAATTGGAAAAAAAAAATTAAGGATTCAATGGATAAAAATTTTAAATCAATTCATAAACTCAGTATTTGAGTAAATAAAAATAAATAAATAAATCTATTTACATTAATTATAATCACTTGCTAAACTTTTGTAGCACAAGGGTCAAAGCCATCTATTAAGATAATTCTTAGTCGAAGCCCGCAAATCAAACTGTACTATAAAGTACAATTCTTGATCAATGTTTTCAAATAAAACATCGTATAATTTTATTAACCTTGTAAAATTTTATTCCAAAGGAACAAAATTCATTTTTGAATTTTCAAAATGTTTCTTTAAGGGTTCATTTGATTGCAAAGATGAAATTTAGGTGGAAAGAAAACGAATTCCAAGGAATTGAATTGCCTAGAAATTGTTTTCTTGAAAATTATAAATTATTGTGTTCGATTAGTATAATTTTTCACGTGAAAAATATTGAAATAAAAGTGTTTTTTGTGTTCGTTTGACTTTGTTTTACATGAAATTTGTCAATTTAAGGGATATTTACTTCTAACAATTGTTCATAGAATTTGTTTCCATTGCCAAAAAAAAAAAAAAAAATCATGTTCTTATTGCTTTTGAATAACAAGATTAGATATTTAATGCTTGATTTTATTCAAAAAAAAAAAAAAAAAAAAAAAAATCATGTTCTTATTGCTTTTGAATAACAAGATTAGATATTTAATGCTTGACAATCTGTAATATGAAGAAGACGATTACGATCAAGTTGCTGTAATTAGAACCATTTATGAATCTTGATTTAGTTAATCACTTGTGTGAACATGAAAGCATGTGAAAATTCAATTGAAACCAGGTGCTGTACAGTATAATTTTCTAATGAAATTCATGCCCTGATACCCACCCAACTTAAATTGAGGCTCAGTGATATTCCAAGAATCAGCTAACCCTATAAACGTAACGACAACGTTTTGTATGTATAGGTGAACACCTGGTGGCTGCATCATTTGCATAACTTTTTTATTTTGGTGACAATTTTGGTCTTTTGATGTGACTCTTTCTTTTGGTTAAAGTCCAACTCTCCAAGTGACAATATTTGTGACCCACCAGTAATAAATTTAGCGGTTAGCAAATTTTCTTAATAAAAAAATAGTGATTATTAGATCGAATAGTGATAATTAATGATTATTCATTTGTTTGTGTTAATTATTTTTTAAGTAGTAGAGATTAGTTATACAGATTTAATGGGGATTTAGTATTTTATTTAACAGTTATGGTGTATTTTTACATTTATTATACATCGGTATATTTGTGGCGGTTGTACCATAATTTTTATTTCTTAGAAGATTTGATTTTCTTCTTACTAAAAAAAACTATATATAATTATGTAAATACCATAATTTTTATTTATTGTATCATATTTTAAATATAGCCAAGATTTTTAACCTTTACAGCTTACTATTTCCTGTCACATTCTTATCGTCACCTTTCATCATATAGCATATTTTGTCCTTAATGTTTGCTTTCGTCCAAATAATTTGATTGGAAGGCATAAAAGGACAAATTTGCATGGCTTGTCATTAAGCTCGTAATTGGTTTGTCGTTTTTGATCCATTTTTGTTTTCCGTTTTCGAAAATGCGGAAAACGAGTTTGGTCTGTCGTTTTCGAAAACAAGTTAAAATTTATAATTAAAAACGTAAAACGACTTTTTATCTTTTTCAGTTATAAATGTCGAAAACGCTCAAAATGCGGAAAACGGACTGTTTTCGAGGAAACTAAAAATCGTTTTGAAAATGAAAATGGAAACCAACTGCACCTTACTTTTCAATTTGTTGTACAAATTGTGTTTGGTCACCATTTTTTCAAACATTTATTTTCGACCTCACATTCTTTTATAAAATAATTTTACACATGAATAAAAAATATTTCTTTATTTTTAACAACAAATTTTTCAAAAAATTAGTATTACATTATATGTTTTCTTACAATAATGGGGCTCCAACAAAGACTTAATATGTACGATATATCTCATCTATTTGTCACCGTGCATGTGTGCTAAAGCTTATAATTATTTATAAGTTGATTAAATTCTATTTTTATTTGTACGTTTCATGGAACTCATATTTTTACGTACAATTTATTCACATGTTTCTTGGAACTCACTATTTACAAACAATTATAAATTTTGAAGAACATGCAATAATGTCTTTGAGCACGCGACCAAATTTTTGGTGAATTCTCTCTACTTTTTTCCCGTCATTTTTATGATGTTATACAACTATAGAGTAAACTAAGTGCTTGTTTGACAACCTTTAATTTATTTTATAACTTGCTCGAAGAGTTAATTTTAAAAATATTATGGTATAAAACTTTGTCTCTGATAGTGAGAACCATCATAGAACAAGGTGGTCTTCACTCTTGAAGTGTAAAGTGCGTTCACTTGACTCGACTAGATAACTCACATTTTCTAATGGGCCACGTTGCGCTCAACCATTTGGAAAAAATGTGAAGTCTGGCAACTTTTAAATTTTTACACATAATTTGAAACAATAAAGTGAAAGTCGTAATCAACAATCAATCACTTATATCACAATTATATATATTATTGTAAAATATAAACAAGCTGCAGTGACTCCATTTGAGTCACGGTCGTCGACTTATAGCTTGATAAGCAATTTTGTCACTAGCAAGTCAACTTTAAAAATAAAATTATCTAATGTGCTTGTAATGAACAACCTCATGAGCATGACTCCCACTTAGGAAAGACAATTTTCGAAAGATTACTTTTATGACTAGGACTGAACTAAATTTTTTATATAAAGTGAAAATTACAGCCCCCACAAATTGCTTAAATTATGAATTCACTTATTTGAGAAAATCATTGATGCCACTTTGAAAAAGAAAATTGAATTATGACTATTCAATTGAGCCACACACTGCCAAGTATAAGTTTAATTTTAAAAGTTATAAACCCTTCGAATAACTTCTACTTACAAATCATTTTAAATATTTCTTCGTAACAACAATAATGTAATATATTATAGTCGCTGTTCTGTAGGGATTAAAATTTAATTTATAGTAAATTTTAATAATACTCATTAAATGTATGGTAAAAAATTGTGGATTACATGAAATGCATTATTAAAATTAATTGTTAATTTTTACTTAAATTGAAATTTAGATTTTAATCACTAACTAACATAGGCATGATGACAAAGGGATCCACAATTATTGTGATAATAATAGATAGAGAGATTTTAGATTCAGGAAACAATGACCAAAACGCGTCATTCTCAATTCCTAATGATGTCGTATCAGGTACTATTAGCTCGTGTTTGATTCTCATTGTTCCCACATTACAATGAGAATTTGATTTTATAATAGTATTTTTTTGGAGAATTTGTGATAAAAAAAGAAGGAAAATTTTTAGATTTATGAGTAATATTATTTTATTGAAGAGTGTGTGATTGATAAAAAGAGATATCCTTGCGTGATTGAGGGTTCTCAAGTCTTTTCATTTACAGTTGTGCAAATAATTTCATGGTTAGTGGAATCAGCAATACGGAATCCGAACTACTGTAAAATAATTTCTTTTTTAGTTTTATTTTATTAGACAGTAAAATAATTTTAAGTCATTTTACACGGTCAATACAATATAATTAGAAAATTACAAAAATAAATAAATAAAAATGTGTCTACATTCAGCCTAGACGGGTCAACTTTCTTGGGCCGTGAGATCCGAAACCTGGGCTCGTGACTCAACATTTTTGTGTCATGGGGTTTGTGAGCTGATCCATATCGGCCTTGGGCGGCCTAACCAATTGAGATGGACTTATATTACATATCATTTGCATAACCATAAAAATAATGGGCTCATTTTGGCTGGGCCCAGTACAGGCCATTAAGAAACCGCACCGAAAAAATAGGCCTAATAGCTCAACAATCCAACAGCTAAAAACACATTGCCAATGCCTGGTTCAAATGTGTGTAAGCTGTGTCCAGCTCAGTGGTAAAGCAGGAAGATTCTCTACGGAATATTGGAGGTTTGAATCCCTGCGGCAGTTAGAAGACAATATTTATGTTGGAAGACAGACATTCCATGGAGGCAAAGTTATGGTGCACTTTATCACCCTTCCGAGGTCCTGTCCGTACTTTGTAAAGGGATACAAGAAGGAGAATCGCATCCCAAATGTTTGACCCAAGTGTGTATAAGTTAGAACTGCATTCGAACGTACCTAAGTGGCGAACCAAGAGAAAAGACTGTCATTGTTCAAATTAGTCGGACGAAACTCGAACAACTGAGTCCCAAAAAATAAAAATAAAAAAATAAAAGCACAAATTGCCAATTCAATATGTGTGAAATACTCGTCCAACCTATTTACTCCATTAAAGGAATTTAATTGGGCAATTTGATAAACTTTACGGAGGCTAATTTCAAATCAGAAATCAATATCTAAAGATTTGGAATATTCTTCTTGATAAAAATGACATTTTAAAATGAAATAAAAAAAATCTTATATCAGAGCTTATTAAGCTCAAATGAGCAATTTGATTCGGTTAAAACTCAAAAGAGCATACCAATTTTAAAATTGGCCTGTTCAAATGAGTCATAATCTCGCAGGACAGGTTAAGGGATAAATCGACTAATTATTGAA